CTGAGGGCACAAGGGAGACTTCAACATAATTCACATTGATGATCCAAGTTGATCCCAAGTTTGAGGAACCAATATCAAACGCCTGACAACCCCAGATAAGAGAATTCAGTTTTTTCAGATCTATAGACTCCTTCGTGAGTTTCCCCTACCGAGAAAGATCCAACCTGTCAGAAAATAGGCTCTTTTCTGCCACGTCGGGAAGACTATGAGTTATTCAACTATTAGATTCAGTTTAGCATTATACCCACTATAAGATGTCCAGACAGGAATGATGAATCACCACTTTGGAGATTTTCTTAGAAGCTTGATGGGGAAGAAAATCCTTCAATATGATACAAGTCGTATCAGTGAAGAAGAAGATGAATTTTCTTAGAGTGGCGCAGGCTGCCACAGATTTCATCCCAGAGTTGATTTCTACTCACATACTTATTTATCAACTACATTTCGCTGAGTACGAGAAGCGGAAGAAGAATGTTTAAACTTAAGGGCTCGAGAGTTACATTGTGGAAACCTATATCTATATGCAGCTCAGATGCAAAAACTTCCTACACAAAATTTGTTTTTGCGATACTATTGCTGCTACAATAACATGGGATTTTCGCAATTGTGTGAGACGTGTTGAAACCATCTTGTTTTCCTTACTTATGCTTTCTTTCATATTATCTTTCATTTCATTTGTCTTTTTCTATAAATGTGTTGTATTAGGTTTTGGAATTCAGTTTTTGGCGTGAGTTTGTTTAGGACAGCTGCTGTTGTTTGTTTCTCCATTTGAGGGATTGAGTGGTGTTCCGGTTGTATCTCTCTCTCGAGGTGATGTTTATTTTCCCTTTCTCTTTTCACATCCTCCCTATGTCGCTCCTAACCCCCCTCCATTATTGCAGCTGCACCCAAACAACCACACTTTGTTGTTTTCCCTGCAGTTTCCCCAATCTAGCCATCTGTCCTTGTTGTTGCCACCTCAGACAACCGTCCTCTTGCTGTCTTGCAGTTCCCCGCATCCCCCGTTGCTTTCACCGACATTCCCCCTCTTTGCATTCACGTTGAAACAACCTTTTTTTTGCTGTTCTAGCCACCCAACCATCCATTCCTCTCCTTCCAACTTGCTGCCCTTACTGTAACTCCTCTGCTTCGTTGTCGCCGTTTACATCCTTTTCCATTGCCGCGCCTTCCGACCTTCATCTACTCTTTGCTATTTCGCCGGATTGCCAAACCCTCACCGATCACCGTCAGCATTTCGAGACATACTTTAGTTGGACTCTGTGGTGTTTTGTTGCAATTTCAGGATTTCGGGTGTCGTGTGTTATATTTTCCCTTTCAAGTGTGCTCATTTTCTTTCAGTAATAATATTCGCCTTTTCTTGATCACCATCAGCATCTCGAGACACACTTTAGTTAGACTCTGGTGTTTTGTTGCAATTTCCGGATTTCGGGTGTCGTGTGTTATATTTTTCCTTTCAAGTGCGCTCATTTTCTTTCAGTAATAATATTCGCCTTTTCTAATATAGTTTGGGTTAACTCTGGTATTAATAGTTGTTTGTATGTGCATGCTAAGAGGATTTCATTCTCTGATAGTACAAGCAAGAGACGACAGTGTACCCACGTGCGTAGATATTTTCTTACCACCTGAATATCAGCTAAGGGCGAGTAGATACTTTTTCACCTTAGATAATTGACCGCTGTGCCGATGAGATAATATTGTTTAAAAGTGTGTTAGGTTATGTTTGACATTGCTCCTAAGACAAATGTTAATGTGAAGAGTATAAAATAAAAAATAAATTTAAAAGCTAAATTTTGAAAAGTAAATTTAAAGTTAATACATATAAAAATTTAAGTTATTTTCCATGAGGTAAATCTCATAGATATATACATTAAATTATTATAATACTTTTATAGAAATATGAAAAATCAACATATATATTATTTTTCTCATTGGATTGTTGTTGTTTAGAAGTATGATTGCTTTTGAGTTATCTTTAGATAATTAATTTTATTGTTTTAATGATTTTTTCATGTTTTAAGCTTTTGAATAAGAGGACATGAGGTGAGAGCAACAATCGAAAAGGTAAAAATTTTACTTGTTATTTAAATTATTTTCTTTAGTTGTTTTTTCATGAATATTTGAATATTAAATTGTTATTAATAGAAATAAACTAATAGAAAATTTAATTCCACTTTCTAACTGCCCGTTTTCGCCTTAGTTAATTCCAAGCTCCAGTTCGAGTTATGACATTCTATATTTATTTATGCTTCAGTGAAACTTAGTAATATGATTATAAACTTAATATTTAGATGGTTGATGGTGGGAAATAATACAAACAACTAGAATATACCGAACCCGAAGCAGTGTGCCGTTAATTATGCACTTTTGTTAGGCTTGTTTTTTGATGCTTGGCCCTCTTGCCACGCCACACACCACCATCCACAAACCACACTTCACACCACACACTACCATCTTCATGGCACAACCACCCTATCCGACCACCTCCACACTACACACCACTACCTCCACACCACACAACTCTCCTACACCACCATCTCTACGCCACACCAACACATTCACACACCACCACCTCTATACCACACAACCACCCGACATCACTACATCAACACACTAACACCTCCACAACACACGCCAACATCTCTACCAAATTTCGGGCAACAACATCAATTAATTTGAATTTCCAATTAATTTCCACATGCAATCACAACTGCCACCAAATTTCGGGCATCAATCGAATAGAGCAACGAAAAACCAAATCCATCAACCGGAGGTAGCATAAAAAACCCAAATCATCAACCAGGTATAACATAGAGAATCCAAAAAAATCCCAAAATCCAAAATCAACAAAAAACCATTCAACTTTAAGAGCACAGAGAACCCAGGAAAACCATCGAACATATATATTTGCAAAATTAAAATGCCCGCATAGATAAGGTAGAGAATACTTAAACAGAGGGGAGAGAGAGAGACCGCTGAACAGAGGGCGGAGAGGCAATGATCCAAACCGGGCCAAAGAACAGAGGGGAGAGGGAGAGGGAGAGGAATAATGAAAACAACCATCGGAACCAACAGATTCAAATGGAATCAAGCCCTACCCACTGGAGCCATGGATCCAAGGGAATCGAGAGAAGAAAGTTAGGACAACAATCACGAGAGAGGGGACAAAGGGGTGGCAGGGTCGAGCAAGTGGTGTGCAGGACGAAGGTGTAGCGGGCTAAATGAATCGCTAAGAAACGTGGGCCGTGGCCTGCGTTTCATATAAATTTTCTAAATAAGCAGCGTTACCGTTTACCAAACACACACCGCACGCCACACCGCAGGTAATAAGCTGCCCCAAATGGGGCCTTGACATATAGCTAAATTGTCAGAGCTAAACTCTCCAACTCTTTGAACTACAGTACACTTAATAAAATTTAGATGATGGAATCATTAGATCTTTGCTAGGTTTACCATCCAACTACACACTTTTTGCCATCAAGCAAATAGTGGGACATGCATCTGCATTCCATTTTCTAAATTGAGTACTATAAAATTTTGAGTCGGTTGATTTCTTCCATCGATTTCTCTTACTTGAAAGAGGCGATTAATATGTTGGTTTCTGTTACTTCTCCTTTTGTTTAGTGTTTATTGAAATATTCAATATAAAAAAAACAGAATTTAAAAAATCTTGAAATTAACGAAGATGTTGAGACTACTAAAAAATCAAGGTTTTGCAGTTGGATTGAAATCAAAACCTAAAAGGAATTGTAAAATTTTGAATGCTAATATTATGAAGGTGAGGGAGAGTTAACGAAGGCAAGGCTCGGGAAATCAAGTCTTGTTATTAGAGAACTGTTTTGATTTAATGCTAGGTTTATCTTCTACGTACTCCTGAGGTAATTTTCTTATAATAAAATTAATTGGAAAGTATAAAGAGCCTAAAAGGGCATTCTTGTTTCTACTGTTGATCTTTAAAAGACAATTCAGTACCATGAATTGTATTCTATGAACATTAAGAAGAGAAGGTATGCGTTAAAATTATGATGAAGTTATTATATATAATTAAGCTTTGATCAAACTTTTCTAATTCTAATAAGTAACTTTAAGGATCAATACAGTTTAAAAAAAAAAAACCATATAATTGAGTTCAAAGCAAATTGAAATAGTGAATATTGAGAATGTTATTAAGAATATGTTACTTAATGGAGTGGTGTCAAGCTTTTAAATAAGGGGCTTTTGCATACATAGCACCCAATTCATATGTATTTACATATCATTTAACATTTACATTTATACCGACCAAATATTTCATGTCACATAAAAAATACCACCATTTTAACTTTTAAACAGTGAAATGCACCTTTTTATGCATAACTAAGTTGGCATCATGTCTGTAAAAATTAAGTATGAGTGCTAGATATGTAAGAGTAAAGTGCCAAAATAGTCCCTTGACTATTAATATGAAGTTATTTTCCCATTCCGTTTAATGGGGGCAAAAATAGTCCTCAGTGGGGTCTATTTGAACCCATATTAAAAGAGTCAGAGGACTAAATTAGCACTTTATATACTCTAAAGACTAAAATAGACTAAAATGACTCCCTGCAAAGAGTTGGAAGACTATTTTGACACTCTTTTCGATACGTAAATATGTGGGAATTGAGTGGTATGTATTGAAATATTCCTTTAAATAATTGTCAAGGAAGCACATTAGTAAGAAATCAAGAAACAATATTAAATCCAACGGGATGTGTTGGTTGTGGTACTGCTCATAAAAGATGTTTGAAGTAGGATATCGTAATGTGTGCTACATCGACTATCTTCTGAAGTGAACAAGACTTCATGTATATGAGATTGATTATTATTTATGATATTATGGGAATAATGAAATGATACTTTGATGAGTGTTGTATATATAGTATTCATAAGATTGAATATAGATGGAAAAATTTCTTATGTAGTACAAGTGGCCTGGGATCTCTATCTCATAAGAGGTTAGCTTGGAAAATTAGTTAATTTGGTTCAGAATTAAAGCTTCTGAAACTCTAGAAATCTGATTGCATTTATTTGTTTTTTTTATGTTCTTGAAACTGTTATGGAATTGTTGATAGGTTTAAGGGATCTCGCTGATTTCCTGCCGGCTTCTCTAGCCACAATAGTGAGCTATTTCTCGGCAGAAATTACTCGGAGTATTTGGGAACCTGTTGCAATGAATGGCATTGATTGGCCCAGTCCTGCCACTTACCTTCAGTTGATTGAATCTGAGGTTAGGGAAATCCTTGCTTCTGTTGGAGTCACTCTTCCAAAGTGCGATTGTGGTGAGTTTCCTCTCCTTTCTCCCAGCCTTCGTTGCAAAAGTGTAAACAACTAAATATTAATTTTTTGGAAGATTTACATACATTCCACTCAATTTTTATGTATGTACATATCCAACTCCTAAATTTCAATATGCCGCCTTACCTATGCATGAAAAGACGCATTTCACTCTTTAAAAGTTAAAATAGTGTTGTTTTTGATGTGATACGAAAGATTTGAGCCGTATAAATGTAAAAAGTTTACTTTAGGTGTTATTTTTGCTTTCTACAGTGGATTGGGCGCTATGTAGGAGGAAATGCTCTATTAGCCATACAGTTTACCATGGGCAATACCCTTCGTATCATGCATCAATATTAATAATCGGAAGAATTAACATACATGCCACTCAATCCTTATGTATTTGCATATCTGACACCTAATCCTTGATATTTACATTAATACTACTCTACCTATGCATCAAAAGGTTTACTTCACTTCCAAAAGAAGTGATTTTTTATGTGATAAGAAAGATTTGCGTGTTAGAAATGTGAAAATCAAACTTTTCAGGTGCAGGATATGTAAAATCCATAAAAATTGCTCAGCATGCCTGTAAATGCCTCTTAATTATTTTCAGGCAGTACGGTCCCAATGCTTCCTCTGCCAATGGCTGCACTTGTCAGCTTGACTATAACATTCAAGCTGGAGAAGGGCCTGGAGTACATCCACGCGGTGGTCGGCCAGGCGCTGGAGAACTGCTCCGCCGGGAGCCCGTGGCCCAGCATGCCCATCGTCGGCGCCCTGTGGTCACAGAAGGTCAGGAGATGGCATGATTTCATCGTCCTCACGGCCACTCGTTCCCCCTTCACCCGCGACAAAGACGCCATCGCTCAGCTCATTCGCAGCTGCTTCTCCTCCTTCCTTGGCCGCGGCGCCGCCCACTGCGGCGCCCATGGGCTCCTCGGCCCCTCCTTCCTGGGCCGCGGCGCCGCCCACTGCGGCGCCAATGGTCTCCTCGGCCTCTCCATCTCCAACCAGGGCCGCCGCTCGCCGTTAGCTCCCGGCTTCCTCTACCTCCGCTCATGCCGCTCGTTTCACGACACGCACTTCGTGAACAACGTCATCCTGAAGCTCGTCATTGAGTGGACCAACGAGCTATCCAGCCCGGAACCGTCTGCTCGTCTGTTGTCGGACAAGTCGTCGCTTTCCGCCACCGCGTCGGCGGTCAGGAATGTGGCGGCGCTCGGAACGTCTCTGCTATGCGTGGCGGGCGGGCCTTTGTTAGTGCAAGTCCTGTACGAGGAGACATTGCCGTCGGCGCTGATTTCGTGGGAGTTCAGTCTGCAAAGCGGACCTGCGGCGGGGGCGGGCACGGCTGCTGGAGGGATATGCGATGGCGTACATGCTGGTGGTTTCAGGAGCTTTCATTTGGGGGTTGAGGAAGACATTTCCGGGCTGCTCTTCCTTCTTCTCGTCGGTGCATCTGAGGGCTTTTGGTATGCACATGGAGTTTCTGGCTGATGTGTTGGAAGGGAAAGTTTCGGTGGGGTGTGATCCGGTTACATGGAGGGCTTATGTTTCGTGTATTTTAGGGTTGCTGGTGAATTTTGTGCCGGCATGGATTCCTGAAATAAGGAAGGGGACGTTGAGGAAGCTGGCTGCGGGATTGAGGGGGTGGAATGAGTGGGAGCTTGCTCTTGGTTTGTTGGAGCGAGCAGGACCTGCTTCGGTGGAGTTGGTCATGGAGTCCATTCTGCGATACTGTGGATGAGGATTAGGGTTCCCATTTTTTTTTAATGTATCATGATGTTTTGTAGTGATGATTGTTTCTGGCTTCGTTAGGAAAGTGTAGGGGTTAATTTGATTTTTTTTATAGAATTAGATTAAAATAGATAATGTAAATAATCAGGAGATTGTTTTAATACTTTCTTTTATCATGATTATAGACCTAGTTTTTTTCTTCAAGTTTTATCTATAGCTTGGTGTTCAAATATTAAAGAAAGTGGTATATAAAATTTAAATTTTGCATAAGCAAGAAGGTGAGTAAGTTGGTCCTTTAATTTTGCCGTTGCGTGGTACTTTGTAGTTCTTTTGTGTAGGGGTGTAAACGAGCCAAATATGAGCAAGCCCAAAATTGTTCGTCGTCGACTCGAAATTAAGGGTTTGTTTGGGGCAGCTTATTTGGTGCGGTGGGGTTTTAAAAACGCACCTTGACTGTTTGGATAAACCGTGTTTTGAAAGTTTATGCGTTTTAAAAACGCTCCGCACCTATCTAGGTGCGGGGGTGTCAGCAGTCTGAATTTTCTAAAAAAATAAAATTTCTAATAGCCACAGCAGTTAACTTATCTGAAGATTATTTTTAATCAACTTATCAACAGATTATTCAATAAGCTATATCTGCCCTAAACAGACCCTAACTCGTGCTTGAAGTAGGTGCTACACAATGTTTCATATTTTTTTCATTTAAAAACACTCCAAATAAATTTTTTATTTTTGAATAGTTCAAAAATAAGAAATAAATTCTTCCCTTTTTTAATAACATGCAAAATTAAATTTTTATAGTATATGCTTCTTAAATTAAAAGAAATAAATTCTACCAGTTTCGAAATTAAGGGCAGGAGTGAAAAAGAATTTCTGTCTCATTTTTTAGTATATATAGAATTTTTATTTGAAAATAATTTTCATATAGATGATGTGGGACTATAAAAAATTAGGGGGAAGAAATGTGGGGGCTTTTACATGCTTACCAATCATTTCTAGGGCAGTCAAAAAAGCTCATTGTTCGTGAACAATTCGTGTTCGATTCGTCAAAGAGTTTGTGTTGGATTCGTTCGATAAGTAAACGAGACGAACATGAATAA